AACTAGGTGGCTCTGTGTTATGAGAGCGTAGGGGAAATGAGAAGCCATTGAGCGAGTTGGAGGGCGGTGCTAAACATTCAAACATTGCAGAAACGGGTATAGCGCCTTTAACCCCACTTTGCCCAAAGCCCCCACTGAAAGATCAAGGCTATGCTCACACTCAGAGAGCAGCCGTCCTCCTGTGGACTCACCACCTGCAGAGGGTCAGTGAGGGGCTGGTGCTATGAGACTTGGGTGGCATCTCTGATTGCCACCCCCCTGACCCAGAAATGGATTAAAGGGAAGAAAATGGATGGATGGATAATTACATAAAAAGGCACAAAGTCATTAAAAGGCTAAAATTGTCCACAGACGTGTTGTACCGCGTTCTAAAGCCCTGGAGCTTCTGGAATTCAGTTGTTGACTTTATTTGTACATATTGTACTGTCTTGGTATTTGATTGTGTCACAAACTTCTGTTGACAGTGCTAATATAGCGTGTGAGACGGTAAACAAGTGTCATTCAGCCAACTTGATCCTGATGTCGGCCCCTGGACTAGTCTGGTGAACTAAAGTGGCCCTTTTACTAAAATGTTTGGACATCCCTTTGTTAATGTATAAAACAAGCATTTTTTTAACAGATTTTTTCAGAATCCTACTGATTTGCCTGGGAGCCCTATCGAAATCACTGCTCTGGGATTTCTACTAGTTTCAGACTTCTGGGAGTCAGAGTGTTAAGAAACAGCATTCTAAACACATGAATTAAGTTAAACCTTTGAATCGTTTTAATCTGTTTCACAGGTGTCAAAGTCCAGTGGCCCCTGAGATGATTTTAAATAATTATATTAAATAGCAGCATTGATGGTATTAGGCGACAATGGCATGTTCTCCATGACTAATTTTCTCAAGAAAACAACCATAAAATGTAATTCCATAAGAAATGTTAAGCCAACATGTAATTAGAAGTTAGTATTGTTATGTTAAGTTTTTACGTGTTTTTTTAGTCTTCAATTACATTTATTCTAAAGCCTGGTTCACACGGCAGGATATTTAGGCCGATTTAGACCCGATTTACCCCTTACGACAATCTTAAGAAACGCTCCGATTTCCGTAACAAAATCTTACAGATTATCCTGCCGTGTGTGGTGTGTTAAGACTGCACTCGTCGCTCGGAAGGACATCGGGACTGCTCCCGATCTCAAATCGGGGATATCCAACATGTTGGATTGTTTTGGCCCGATTTCTTGTCGTGTGTGGTGTCCTCCGAGGACAAGCGAGCGCGTTGCCATGACTACGGCGTGTAGCCAATAAGAAGACGAGGTGACAAGCCGGTGAGGAAACACCGGAAAAAAACCAAAACACAGCAGCATGGCTTTGACCATTGCCTTTTCTTTGGATTACGTGTCTTCTCTGTTAACAACAAACTGCACACTATCGCCACTGCATCCTCTTCGTCCGCCATGACTGTTTACTCTGAAGTCACGCTTGATCTCGAGAGATTTTGTGAGATTTCCGTCTGACCTGGGAATGCTCGGGGGGGGGGGTGTCGGTTCGTGTGTGATGTTTGTGGCTTGCGTGATCTTGCCGTGTGGCTACGCACCACACACTGCACGACCAAAGTGGTTAGACGCAGGATTTTTAATCTCCCCGTGTGGGGTCTAACACGGAGAAAAATCGGCCGACAATTTTAAAATCGTCTCGTGTGAACCAGGCTTTAAATTATGAAGGAGGATTTCCCAATTTTCATAGGAAAGAACCGCTTTTTGAACAAAACTATCTGGTCTCATTTGTCGAGCACGTATCACCAGAATGATTGACAGTTGGAAGGACCAATAGTCTTGATGTTCCAACCGGAAGTAGAAAATCCTCCTATATACCTTCAATATTTGGCCCAGTTTTGGTTCAGTCCACAGTAACTGAACTAATTCTAATCAGAAAAGAATATCCAATCTGACTAATGTGAAACAGGTCATTTATATGGATACCTTCATATTATAAAAAGCTATAATAAATGAAACCCACTTATTTTTTCGGCCCCTGACCAGCCCTTTCATTTTGTATTTGGCCCTCAACCAAAATAAGTTTGACACCCCTAATTTATTTGATGAGGTTATGAAGTTTTGCAGGTATGGGTGTCAGTTTATCTGCGTACGTTCTCGGACACGCTGCTCTGAGGCTGATCCACGCTGTACAGGACGTGCTTATCCTCCTTATCTTTCCCTCCTGACATAAAAGCATAAACTTCTTACATGTTCACGGCTACAATTTCTAAGTTCGCGTCTGTGTTGCCTTTGCTCTTAATCAGGCGCAGATAAGAGAACCCTCCTGTGGAACTGTCGCTGCACGTGTTGTTGTTGCAGACGGTCAATGAGTAACACCAGGACACAACTGTACGGGATCAAACAGGATCTTCAAACGGCTGTGTCAATCTATGCCCTGTTTCCACTGGCCCTACTCTGCTCTGCTCTACTCTACACTACTCTACAATACTCTGCTCTACTCTACTCTACTCTACTCTACCATACTCTGCTCTACTATACTCTACTCTACTCTACTCTACTCTACTCTACACTACTCTACAATACTCTGCTCTACTCTGCTCTACTCTACTCTACTCTACTCTACCATACTCTGCTCTACTATACTCTACTCTACTCTACTCTACTCTACTCTACACTACTCTACAATACTCTGCTCTACTCTACTCTACTCTACTCTACTCTACTCTACTCTACTCTACAATACTCTGCTCTACTCTACTCTACTCTACCATACTCTGCTCTACTATACTCTACTCTACTCTACACTACTCTACAATACTCTGCTCTACTCTACTCTACTCTACTCTTCTATACTCTGCTCTGCTCTACTCTACTATACTCTACAATACTCTGCTCTACTCTACTCTACTCTACTATACTCTGCTCTACTCTACTTGGCTGTACTCCACTCTGCTCTACTCTACTATTCTCTTCTCTACTCTAATCTTCTCTAATCTACTCTACTCTACTCTACTCTACTCTACTCTACTCAGCTCTACTGTACTCTACTCTGCTCTACTCTACTTGGCTGAACTCTACTCTACTATACTAGTCTCAGCTCTATTCTACTCTTCTCGGCTCTTGGTGTGTGTGTGTGTGTGTGTTTAGCGCTCTCTTTGATCTTTATGTTTTTATTTGTATATTATCTTTGTGAATCCAGATCTGAGCCTTAAAGGATTGACCAATCAGATGCCTTCATCTGCAGGAAACTATAGATATAGATATAGCAACCTTCATAGCAACACTCCTGCTCTTGTTGCGGTACTTAGCTAACCCTGTCAGAAAGAATACCAATGAAAGCTATCTTTTGTTCAAAACAGC